TCAAGATATTTGTAATAAGACATTAAAAATAAATCAGTAGACCAAAGATCTCCGACATGACATGGTATATCTTTTAGTTCTAAATACCACGTACTTGCATGTGTCTATTAGAATTTTCGTTTTCCATAAAATGCAGCCAATCTACAATTGTATTAATAGCTAAAAGCTAACCTGATTTTGATGCAATCGACTAAAAAATTTTAACCTGTTCTGTGTGCATTCCAACATATCACGCTATATATATATGGGTCCTATACATTTACAGTTCGACTTACTTTGACATTTCTTCCTCTTGAATAATAATCCTGCCTATGAAGATATATTACTTTCGAGGTGAAAATATGTTTGATAGTTTTCAGGTTACTAGTTTGACCCTGTTTAGAAATACTAGTAATCAGAAACATTAAAAAGTCGGAACTTAAAAGAAATCACAAAAGAGAAATATTTATCGTTTGATGCGATCGATCGATTCCTAGATGGTTAGTTTCTCTCTTTCGATATAATGTTCTCGAGCAGTTATTAATCGTCGTAGTTTGACTTTAACAAAACATCTCAAGTAACTAATGTTAATTGTAATAGAATTTCCTTAGAGATAGTCAAATAGGTGACTATATTATAATAAAAATACGTACGTTGCAGGAATTTTGAAAAAGAAGTTTATAATTTCTTCAATATTTCGGAGAAGATTTCAGCATCGGTATTTGGAAAGCGAAATACCCACCAACGAAGTACCGTGGTAGTTAATTGTTTTTTTTTTTTTTAATATCAAATAAATATCATTTATATATACCCAGATATACAGGGGAGATCGACTAATTTAATTGGCTTTTATCGAACTTTTCTAAAGCATACAATGCAATATTGGTTTTATATCCTCTCGTGTTAGCTTTTCTATTAGTTTTTCTTTCCGTAAGAACTGGTCAAAGTTTGAAACATTAGTTTTCCTTTCGTATAAACAGAATAAATTAACTAGAAAACATGTTTTACTGTCGACAAATGATTTCAAACCCTTTTGGAATATTTTTATACTGTGCTCTAAATTATTTACATGTTAGATTTAAACAGTAACCATGAGCTTTCTGAAACAAAATTATTTTTATGTGGACAAATTTTAACCGGTTCAAAAATAAATAATTCTACAAAATAGCAAAGATGACTTATAATCGATTTGAATTACAATAAATAGTACTATCTAAAAGGGTGGAGTACATAACTTCGTCGAACGTTGAAAGCAAATGTTATTTTTCTAATCACTGTCTTCGAGATGTGGTGAGAATATAACCTTTAAATTTTGTGGTGTCTTTGTTTATAGAACCTCATTTTATCCCTTTTGGATTAGGATTAAAATTGATATGTCAATCGCAAACTTATTTTTCCAATATTCAAAATTCTTGATATAAATCATATATATTTTGAGATTTTGAAGCCTACATAATTAATAACAACTTTGTTAATATCTTGGATAGCGATGTTCAACGATGATATCTCAACGATTTTATTTTCTTTAGATGATATATCATCAAATAATGGCAAATCATCACACGTATTGTCTGACTCGAATAATGTATTGGTTAATCTTATTCTTCTAACAGAATTTACTGTGATTAGCCAGAATTAACCAGATAATAATTTTATTTTTTTCACGATTTTCATTTTTTGATCAATATTCTTGCCTTTTTTCTTGTCATATTAGACATTGGTTTTGATTTTCAAAATTTGGCTAGAATATTGGCTATAGACATTAGACAAAAGGATTATTCCATTGGGTCGTGGACTAAGCTTACGTCATCTGAAATGAGAAATGTAAGATAAGCGCCAAAGACTTCGAAACTTGTAAATAAAATAATAAAACGAGTACGAGATATTTTACGACGCTAATTGTTTTATTTTATACAAAATGGTTTCTAGAAGCTCTCTTTGCCCTTTTATCAAGAACACCAATATTTTAAACCAGCTAAGATAGTGTTTGATAACCAGTCTGGTTATTATCCAGTAATCAAGCGCATATCTAATTGTAACCAGCTAAGATAGTGTTGTATGCTCGAATAATTAACTAGTTACAAGAGTGTTAAACTAGACGTTCAATGAACCGGTTAGGCATTCATATTAGTTCATAATTTTAAACTTACAAAACCGTATTAAAAATCGAAGAATAAAGCATTATTATTACCATTTTGGGATTAAAAGGTTAAATGTTCTTCATCTATAGAATGTCAAAAGAAAAAAAGACTAGATGTTCTAGAAACTCAAATAAGATGAAGAAGGATAATTAATTCAAATTTTCTACTGAAATCGTTAGTTTAGTCAGAGTAGAGCTCTCCTCAATCCATAGTTTCTAGAAGGCAATCACCATTATCCATTGTTTGTCTAGTTGTCTGCGTCACGAATGACATATTTGACTATTGCAAAACTTATGCGAATATGATTTCATTCGTCTACGTGTT